CCTTTGTCTACTTGGGTATGACACAGCAATTCCACCCTTAGGTATGTACTCTAGTAGAACAGTGCTTCTTTAACTTTCATGAGCATCAGAATTACCTAAAAAGCCACACAATTTGGGGGCCCCGCCCCCTGGAGATTCTGATTCAGTAGGTCTGGGGCAAAGTCTATGAATGTGTATTTCTGAGAAACACCCTGCTGCTGAGGCTGCAGCTGGTTTCCGATCACAGTTGGAGCAATGCTTCTCCAGATTTCTTCACTTGTGTCTTGGGAAATAGGAATAAGACAACAAAGGAAACTGTCAACAAAACAAAGAGGCAACCCACGGAATGGGAGAAGATATTTGCAAATGACAGTACAGATAAAAGGATCTCTAAAGAACTCCTCAAACTCCACACACACAAAACAGATAATTATGTCAAAAAATGGGCAGAACACATGAACAGACACTTCTCCAATGAAGACACACAAATGGCTAAAAGACACATGAAAAAATGTTCATCATCACTAGCCATCAGGGAGATTAAAATCAGAACCACATTGAGATACCACCTTACACCAGTTAGAATGGCCAAAATTAACAAGACAGTAAACAGCAAGTGTTGGAGAGGATGTGGAGAAAGGGGAACCCTCTTACACTGTTGGGAATGCAAGTTGGTACAGCCACTTTGGAAAACAGTGTGGAGATTCCTCAAGAAATTAAAAATAGAGCTTCCCTATGGCCCTGCAACTGCACTACTGGGTAATTACCCCAAAGATACAGATGTAGTGAAAAGAAGGGCCATCTGTACCCCAATTTCATAGCAGCAATGGCCACGGTCGCCAAACTGTGGAAAGATCCAACATGCCCTACAACAGACGAATGGATAAGGAAGATGTGGTCCATATACACTATGGAGTATTATGCCTCCATCAGAAAGGATGAATACCCAACTTTTGTAGCAACATGAATGGGACTGGAAGAGATTATGCTGAGTAAAATAAGTCAAGCAGAGAGAGTCAATTATCATATGGTTTCACTTATTTGTGGAGCACAAGAAATAACATGGAGGACATGAGGAGATGGAGAGGAGAAGGGAGTTGGAGGAAACTGGAGGGGGAGATGAACCATGAGAAACTATGGACTCTGAAAAACAATCTGAGGGTTTTGAAGGGGCCGGGGGTGGGAGGGAGGGTGAGCCTGGTGCTGGGTATTGTGGAGGGCACGTATTGCATGGAACACTGGGTGTGGTACATAAATAATGAATTCTGGTACACTGAAAAGAAATTTTAAAAATTTAAAAATTAAAAAAAAAAACACAACACTAACTAGCTGATGCATTGCTGGGTGAAAGCAAAGGGAATGTGGATGAATAATGTGAGGAAGAAATCATGAATATCAGCCACTACTTTCTGATCAGAAAAGAGGACCATAATATTCTCTTCTTTGCTGTATCATGGATGTTTATAAATATAAATGTCATTACTGTTAAAAAAAAAAAAGAATATTCAAAGTCACATTGTTCATAACAGCAAAGATCTGGACACAACCCAAATATCTATCAGCAGAAGAATGGATAAACAAATTGTAGCATGTTCACACAATAAAGTATCATACAGTATTGATAATGAACAAACAATAAGTACAGATAACAACCTGGATAAATCTTAGAAGCATAATGTTAAGTGAAAAAAAGTAACTCACAGAAAATGACATCCAGCATGATACCACTTTTATAAAGCTAACAGATTAAATAACATATTTCTTAAGAGCAAATATATGGATAAAACTAAAATATGAACTAAAATGTGAATAGAAAACACAAAAATGGGGAAAGGAAAGAATCACCTAACAAGATGCCACTGCCTGGGTGTTAAGGTAGCTTTTCAGGTGGGTGGCAGGTTCTCATATGCTTCAGAACTCTCATGTAAGTTATATGTATATGAAAAATTTTTTATGAATATTTGTCATACATTATGGAAAACGTATACACAGTACACATAAAATGGAAAACAATTTTTAAATCAGTGCCAGACAATCAGGTAAGCTAAATGAGACAAGATTACAAGGAAAGGAACATTTTCATAACAATTAAAATACTCATTAGACTTGGTAAATGACAGAAATGATCCTGGAGGAAATGTAGAGGACAAACTTGAGATGTCCTCTTGCAGAGGGAAAACAAGAAGATTAAAAAGTGATGAGAAAGGTGATGATAGATGCGCAGGCCCAGGATAGAGGGCTCACAACAATGGTTTTAGGAGTCTTCCTAAAACCATGAGTGGAGCAAACAGAGAGGAAAAAAAGTCAAAGCTATATTTAAAGAAAATCCTCATAGGTTAAAAAAAAGGGGGGGGGGGCTTAGTCTTTCTTTCTTTTTTTTTTTTTTTTTTTGAAATTTGATGTTTTGTCTCTTTTATTTTATTTTAAAGATTTTATTTATTTATTTGACAGAGAGAGATCACAAGTAGGCAGAGAGGCAGGCAGAGGGAGAGGAGGAAGGAAGCTTCCTGCTGAGCAGAGAGCCCCATGTGGGGCTTGATCCCAGGACTCTGGGATCATGAGCCGAGCCGAAGGCAGAGGCTTTAACCCACTGAGCCACCCAGGTGCCCCAGGCCTTAGTCTTTCTGATCAAAAGTACTCTCCAAATCAGCAAATTAATGCAGAAAACCACATTGACACATTTCTGATAAAAGTTCAAATATCAAGGATAAAACATGACTTCTATAAGCATTCTGGCAGAATACAAAAGATAGAAAATAAATAAGCTAACCAAACAGAATAAAATTCACACTAGCCTCAAATTTCTCTGCAACAACAAACAAGACAAAAAGATTGCAAAGTTCATTTGGAAACATAAATGGATATGACTAATTAAAGAAAGTTTGAACAAGAAAAAATTATAAATGAACTTGAACCTCTAGATGTTAAGATGTTAACTATAATAATGAAAATGATGTAAAACTGATAATATAATATGTTATATTACATATTATAATGTTATAATATATATTATAGATATATTTATATGTTTTTACATATATATAAAACTTGGTACGTGATCAAGATGTGTTTAAGAATAGGTTATCAACTGTATGATTCTACAGCTAGTTGTTGTAAATAGTTTAGAAAATAATTAGTACCATACAGCTAATAGTTTTCAGTGAATTAAGAGGTTATACTTTTTTATATAAATTTTTTTTAATTGCTTTTCAGTGTACTAGAATTCCTTGTTTATGCACCACACCCAGTGCTCCATGCAATGCGTGCCCTCCACAATACCCACCACCAGGCTGGCCCAACTTCCCACCCCCCAAGAGGTTACACTTTTAAATGATTATATAAAAAGAACTAGAAGAAATATCAATGAAGATTGATCTGATCTTTGTGTGAGAAAGGACTTTGTAAGAATAAAAGAAGTGAAAGAAATCAAGAGAAATAAATGGATATATTTATCTAAAATTTTCTTGAAAAATTTTCCATGTCAAAAAAATCATAAACATTGATAACAAGTAAGCTACAAACTTGGATGGAATATATTTGTTCAAAATACATTCTAAAGACTCTTACCAATAATATTAAAAGATGTATTACAAATCAATAAGAAAAAGGTGGATATCCCATTGAAAACAGGGATGACTGTGATAATCACTTCACAAAGTTTACTGCAAATTAAAAATACAGAAATTGTCATCAAATAAGAGCAAATAGAACCAATGAGTTTTTTTCATTTATATGATTGATGGTGATAAAATATTTGGCATTTTAAATATTAGGAGACCATATTTAACAGCCATTCTGAGGACACTTAGAGTTAACTAAGGTAGGTGGTTAAGCAAGTCTTATAGCTCACTACTCAAGGCAGACATAGAGCTATTCTGCCAGCAAAGGGACTTTGAGACTTTGTTCTGATTTATGCAATTCAACAGACATTTTTAAGCAGCTGATATTACAGAAGACCACACAAGGGGGGGAAAAAAAGAAGAAGAAGAAGAAGAAGATCATTAAAAGATTTCTGCCTGGAGGGATGAAGACTGAGAAAACATGCATGATGTCTTTAAGACCTTGAGTAGCATGTCCACACTGAATGGCATGGTTCTGGAATTCCAGAATTATGGGGAGGGAGGAAACCCCAAAACAAATTAGGGAGCCCTTTTTTACATGGGGAGTTATAAACACTGAAGTCATTACCCCATAATCGGATATAAGAGCAAATATAAAACAAATACAAAATATATCTTGTATCAAGTATAAAAACAAAATATGATAATAGCAAATACCATAGAAATTAAGGTGGCAGTGAATAGGCTTTGTAAGTTCAAATACATGTGTGGATCACAGATTGAATATTTATTAATCAGTTACAAATGGATGACAGAATGGCTAAAAACATCACATTCTTTTAGTTTAGAATTATTCTTTTTATTTCAGAATTATTGAGGATGACCAAGAAGTAGCACCATGGTTTGTAAACATTCTTCTGTTTGCATTTCTGACTCTGGAATCCAGGACCCTGGTCTCTTGCCTGGAGGACTTTCATCTCCCTCCCACCACACTAATAGTGTTTAGTGACAATATTGGGAGGATAACATTTGGATTCTTTTACTGATGACAATCCTAAAGATTGGAAATCTTCTACTCTACAGTTAATCACAAGTCATAGACCAGTGCAAAAGTCAAGTCATAGGAAAAGAAAGTTGAAAATGTAAGGCCCCAAAAGGTTATTATTTCGTATGTGAAAAACTTTGATTCATTTGTTTTGCATGCCTGTCTGGGTCCACCCAACTTAAATTTCCCCAAATTCATTTGGTCAGTTGAAAAGGTCACTTTAGACAGTGCCCATTTCATTATCAACCCAAGGTAAGCACTTAATTGAGTTGACATGCTTACAGGATTAGGGTCTCTTTAGTCATGATTCACTGTACCCCTGGTAAGAAGTGGTTTCTGGCCTATGTATTGATATGTTTACTCATGACAGTCAACATGCTTCTTTCTCTAACCCTCCACCTCTCTATTCTCCTCAGGACTACTGGCTCTCTCTCCTTTACAAGCGCCTGATCGGCCCCAAAGTCTTGGCTGTGCATGTGGCCGGGCTCCAACGGAAGCCACGGCCAGGCCGAGTGATCCGGGACAAACTAAGGATTTATGCTCACTGCACAAACCACCACAAGTAAGTTTTCAGAGACACGTCACAGAAAGCCACTCCTGAGGGGCTTCAGGCTTCAGGCTCCTCTTAGAATTCCATACCATTTGGGACCCCTAAAAGACTGACTGTAAACTGCTTCTGGAGTCATTATACCTGCTCTTTGCAGGTTTCAAAGGACCTCTGATAAATAGCTTTTTCCCCAGGTAAAACCATTTTCTCACTCTCAAAGGATTGATACACAAAAAGTTCATAAAAACACATGCCATTTGTTCATTTACTTCTTCATCCAACAAATTTTTATTGAACATTTTCTCTCTTCCAGTTGATAAGGCCCACGAGGCTTTTTGTGTGTACCTACACCTGAACCAAAGCTAGAGACACAAAATGTGTTCCTATGATCCAGCAGCAGAGCTTGAGGAAATAAGTCTACATTTCTAAGGTGCATGCTGGAGAACTCTCCCATTAGAAACCTAGCCCTAGACCTGTGTGTCCCAAGCTGGAAAGCCCAAAGGAAGTTATGCCAGCTTTAGAACCATTTTCAGAATTTCAGAACTCTTTCCAACTATTTTAAATCTTAGGAGGTTAAATAAAGACTAGGCTTCCTTTTTTTACTGGGCTGGACTTAGAACAATCAGTGTGGTACAGTGTGTCTATCCTTCTCTTTTTGATCGGAAGCACTGGTTGTCATTGAAGTTGTCTGTAAATAAACAGGAAAAATAATTATCAGTAAATAAATAAAGTAAGGCAGATAAAATTTTAAAACATGAGGATCGGAATGTAAAAACTGAAAACAGATCCTAAAGCCAAACCCATCTGACCATATTTGGCTTTCCTACATCACTTCCTGTTTAAGGAGCAGAGTAGGCAACTCTGAAAAAGAACTCTTTCTCTTAATGCCAGTGGAGGATGGGAGGAGGAAGCCAGTGCCTCCAGCCAGAACTTTATTCCGGTGGGCCTATCAGGGGCTGATCATGGGCAGTGGATAGCACAAAGAGTTCCAGTGGTCAGGTTACAATAGACGTTCCTTCTCCTTCCTTGATGAGAGAGGAGCCAAGTCAATTAATTTATCATGATAAGATTTTTCAAAGAATCACTCTGAACATAGTGGGGCCAGGGGCCAGTTATCTTGTCTGTAGATACAAGTGCCTATTGTGGATGAGAGGAGGCTGGTTTGGGCCGAGGCCAGAGGCTTTCAACGTGCCTTTTGCTCAACAGGAAGCTCAATCCAATACCTGACAGAGAGTGACTGCTTTATGGCTCTGGCTGGAGTTATCTGATCACCACACAAGGATACATTGTACTCCTTGTCTCCACCCTGGCCCTGAGGTAACCACTCAAAAGGAGGACCCCCAGCTTCAAGAGAGAAATATTACCCTTGGCACCTTTTGTCTCCTTTGGGAAACACATCAGTTGTGCCCTTTATACGATTGGTCTGAGGAACCAGGGGGGAAATGTCAGTAGTCATGGGCTTAGCAGGATTTCCATGTCCTCACAGAGGGCTCCTCACATAGTCTCATCCCAGTGCTCATCCTCATATTCTTTAATAACATGCTTGTGGGGAGTTGTCACTAATATTCTGAATATACCATGAACTCAGGGCCAGTGTCTCATTCATTTTTGTATTCTTGGTGTCTAATATGGTAAACTGGCATGAAGACCTCAGGAAATGTTTGATGCATGAATGAATGAATGCATGCCTGCAGAAACAGGGCATCAAGACATCATGGATGATTTGAGTAAGAGTTCTTACTCTCTTCCCCTTTGATATCAGCACATAATCCAGAACGCGGTGGTGTACTAGAATAGCTAAGAATTCTACCATTCACTAGCAGGAAACCTCAAACCAGTCACTAAAATCATCTGGATTTAATATTCTCTCTAATCACCAGCTCTCCTCTGCTTTCTGTGGGAATCCACTTCAGAACCTCTCTGGGGAAACAGTGCCACTGTGCTCCTGTCAGTACCGCCCCTCTTCCCCATTAAAAAAGGAAGACGAGACTTGAGTGATCTCTTGCACATGTGGCTGTAATGAGAATAACAGGGTGGAAGGTCTTTTTGTTCCTATTAGAAAGTAAGCCCACAATGGATGCACGAGATGGCTGGGTTTGTAGATCTCCTCCATGTCTGTGGGTGTCAGATGCCCCAGATAGGTAAGCACAAAGGTAGGACAAGTGTGTCTGCTCCTTCTCCCTGGGAAGCCGTGTGCCCTGCCTGCGCCCCTCATATTCCACGACAGTCATGAGGAAGCATTGCTGATTCACTTGGTTTATTCATGGTCAACAACTCAAGGTCACAGAAATGTCCCAGAGTAGGCATGTTGGCTTTACACTAGTCACTCCTGACCAATACTCTGAAAATATATATCCTTGGTCAAAATAGGGATTGGGTGAGAAAGTATAAACTTAGCAGTAGAACAATCCAGAGAGACTGTCTATTGAAACAACTCCTGCACTCCAGTGTAGACTGGGCACTTGCTGTGTGCCGAGCATCTTGCCAGATATCTGCACTTACATTATCAGACTGAATTCCAGAAGTCTTATGGTATCACCCCTCTATGCAAATAATAACAACATTAATAATGCAAAGAATTTTACACTTGGGAAGACCCTCAGAGATCTTTGGGCCCAATGTCCTGTGCAGCAGAATTTCCCTTTGCAACCTCCTTGGCAGTTTTGCAAGCTCTATTTGAATACCTCACTGCCTTTCATGGCACTCTCTTACATTGTGGTTTGTTTCTGACCTAGGAGAGTGGTGTGTTTTATGATCAATTGAGGATCAAAAGTTCCGTACGCACACCAATACCAGCATGTGCTCTGCTGCCTTCTGTTCTAGAGTCAATAGATCAGGAGCCCGGCAGCATGGCAGTTCTCACCTTAGATCTTCTTGTTCAGAGAACAAATACATTTTGACTGGGAAACCTTGTTTTTTTATAAACCATTCGGCTGAAACAATGTATGTTTCTGGGGAGGAGCTGAGGTCTTAAGCCAAGTTCAGAACCAATTGGAACCTGGTGGATATTGAAGCAAAATTGAGCCTTTTGGGGTTCAAGTTTGTTTATTATTGGCAAAACATGACTTCCTGTTTTTTAGAAGAGATTTTTTTAAAGGCTCATAAAAAAGGTTCCTGAGGCTTCTTGGACATCAAATGACTCTTACAAAACAATATTTTGATGAGTTAAGTGTAAATGAATCAGAAACATGTGGATTAAATTTCCCTTAAAATACACAGGGGCTTTGAAATTAGGGGAAAAAAATGTTTGGCAAAACATGGCCTGACTTTTACCGAACCCAAAAACTTTGAGTTAGATTTGGAGTCAATGGACCAACCCGGTTCTCAAACACATGGACTTTCACTGGAAATGACCATGGATTCCAAAGCACCATCTTCTCTTTCCTTTTCTTGCCTCCCAGCTGCACTGGAGACATTTCTAGAACAGTGACTGTTTTTTATCTGGAAGTCAAAATGCACCTCTCCCTATGATGTCCCCCACCTCTTACATTGAGGATACCCCACTTTGAGCCTCCCTTCCCTGATTCACTTCCTCTTACCCCCATGGCACCACAGAGAAGATGTCAAGCAGCAAAAGAACAGCCAGAAAGATGAACTCCAGATGCATGGGTTCCCTGCTGAGGAAGAAGTCTCACCATGAGTGAGACATGGGGTAAACTAGATGTTCTACCAAGCAGAAAAGGACATTCACTAAGAAAACCAAAAGCCACCAGACAGACCCTATCTTCATAGGCAATAGATACTCCTCCAGATTATTTTTCTGTGGGCAGAGAATATATATTCTTTAGGACTCTGGATTCTCGACACAGTACTTTCAGGTTGGTGCTACACTCCCCAGCCAAGAATGTATTTTCATAGCCAAATGACCTCTGCTTAAATCCTTGCCCCTTGCCCCAAGCAGAAGGGATGGCTGAGGCAGTCTTCAATGCTAGTTCCTACCTGAGGAGGCTCCATGGATTCTGTGAAAGCCTCTGCTCAGGAGTCTCTGAGCTGGCTTTCAGTACTGCTTTGTCTCCCCCAGGGGAACTATGTAAATGAAAATCAGACCATTGCCAAGCAGCTTGAAAAGACAGCTTTCCCTGCAGCAATGCTGTGATTTCAGGTCTCCCTCCCACCCACCACTTCCCGGCATCCCACCCTTCTCCTCTTCAGTCTCCCAGAGCTCACCCTGCCCCAGCTCTGCAGAGGAAAAACTCGTAAATGCAAGCATGAGGCTCTCCCTCCTCCACTGATGGCCTTTGAGGTTATCTGATGGTAGTTAGCAAAAGAGTTTACCGCAGTCTGGCAAAACTGGTGCCCAGGCATGCCTACTTTTGCTTACACTGAGGCCCAGAGTACCTGTAGTTAATCGTGTTTCGCTCAATTTCCTCAGCAAAGCTAAGCTTAAAGCCCACCAATGGAATATAGTTGGTATTCTTTTAATGACAGCAAATGCAGGACACCAGCTAGCAGCATCTTCTGAGCTCTGGTAACACAAGTCTGCTCAGTAAATGGGCATTCTTTTCTGACCTAACTCAGCTGGCTCCAAAAACTACTTCACATGCTTCAGAAGATTAAGAAGGACCAGAGAAGGAACCAGAGAGAAAAGTCATATAATAATTTATCAGAGTATCAGTGCAGGCCTTCAGAAAGCCTTCGAACACAGTAATGTGCCCTCCTACAGATGTAAGGAAAATTATCTGACACAAAGTCAATGGAATATACTTTGGGAATTCTTCTTCTAACCTTAATGGATTGTTCTAGACAAATGGTTCCCAAACTCAACTCATCTGCCAAATATCCTAGAAAGACTTATACACACACACATACACAACACACACACACATTCCTAGCTCCCATCACAAACAGATGGAATCAAAGTCTTCAGGATGAGTCCTAGCAACTGTTTTATTAAAAAACAGAAACAACCCAAGTTATCATGTTGACCTGTCCTTAGTCACTCTACTCTTAATTAGTACCTTTAGAAGCAGAGGTGAGTGAACCAGAGGCTAAGGGATGCTGTTTCTGCAAGGAATGATATTTTCCTCTGGGCAAAGTTGACTTAGAGTTTCTCTAAACTCCTCCTTTGAAGGCAGGACTGGGTCATTTCTTCTGTTTCCTCTCATTAACCCATCCAGATGGGGCCCTAGGGGACCCCTTAGAAACAAAGTCTTTTTTCCTACAAGAAAGAAGAAAATCATTATAGTTTTGTTGATACATGCTGAACGTCTCTTGCATGTAGGCATATAGTTCTTCCAGCCTTCTGAACATCCTGTGCTGGTTTAAAAGGATTCCAAAATGCTAATAGTTTTATAATCTTGGTGTAGGTAAAACAGCAAAAGCTGAAATCAAAAAGATCAATAAATTTGGCTATCTAAGAGTTTTAAAGTTTCATACATCAGAATACAATGTCAACAAACTGAATTGATCAAAGAAACCTGGGGGAAATTTTGCAACATACATGCAGACAAAGGATCACTATCTTTAATAAATAGTTTTTATAAATCAATAAGAAAATGGGCAAAGAACATGAATAGCCAGTTCACAAAAGAAGAGATAAAATGGCAAACAGGCAAACAATGCTGCCCCTCAGCGTGAATTTTTTTAAAAATGCAAATTAATACAACACAAAATCCCACTATCACCTCTCAGATTGTTAAGAGTATTTTAAAAGGTTAATATCCTTTACTCTTTTTTAAATTTAATTTATCTTTTTTTCAGTGTTCCAAAATTCATTGTCTATGTACCACACCCAGTGCTCCATGCAATACGTGCCCTCCTTAATACCCACCACCAGGCTTACCCAACCACCCCCCCGCCTCCCCTCCAAAACCCTCAGTTTGTTTCTCAGAATCCACAGTCTCTCATGGTTTGTCTCCCCCCTCCAATTTCCCCCAACTCACTTCTCCTCTCCATCTCCCAATGTCCTCTGTTATTCCTTATGCTCCACAAGTAAGTGTAACCATATGATAATTGATTCTCTCTGCTTGACTATTTCACTCAACATAATCTCTTCCAGTCCTATCCATGTTGATATAAAAGTTGGGTATTCATCCCTTCTGATGGAAGCATAATACTCCCTAGTGTATATGGACCATATTTCTTTATCCATTTGTTCATTGAAGGGCATCTTTGTTCTTTGCACAGTTTGTCAACTCTGGCCATTGCTGCTATGAGCATTGGGGTACAGATGGCCCTTCTTTTCACTACATCAGTATCTTTGGGGTAAATACCCAGTAGTGTAATTGCAGGGTCCTAGGGTACTTCTATTTTTAATTTCTTAAGGAATCTCCACACTGTTTAACAAAGTGGCTGCACCAACTTGCATTTCCACCAACAGAGTAAGAGGGTTCCCCTTTCTCCACACCCTCTCCAGCACTTGTTGTTTACTGTCTTGTTGATTTTGGCCATTCTAACTGGTGTAAGGTGGTATCTCAATGTGGTTTTGATTTGAATCTCCCTGATGGCTAATGATGATGAACATTTTTTCATGTGTCTATTAGCCATTTGTATGTCTTTGGAGAAGTGTCCATTCATGTCTTCTGCCCATTTTTTGACGTGCTTATCTGTTTTGTGTGTGTTGAGTTTGAGGAGCTCTTTGTAGATCTTGGATATCAGCCCTTTGTCAGTAATGTCATTTGCAACTATCTTCTCCCATTCCGTGGGTTGCCTCTTTGTTTTGTTGACTGTTTCCTTTGCTGTGCAGAAACTTTTGTTCTTGATGAAGTCCCAAAAGTTCATTTTCACTTTTGTTTCCTTTGCCTTTGGGGACATGTCTTGAAAGAAGTCACTTCTTTCAAGACATGTCCCCAAAGGCAAAGGAAATATCCATTATTCTTAAAGGTATGAGGAAATGGGTGCTCTTGTAGGTAGTTGAACAGAGCAAATTGGTACAAGCTTTCTAGGCAGTTAACATCAGTGTTAGCAAAATGTGTGTATCAGTCAGGATAAGTGAGGTTATGCCATGATAATGGAGGACCAACAAATCTCCATGGCTTTCGATAAAAAAGTGTATTTCTCATGCATACTACCTGTCTGTCATGGCTCAACTGTGGCTCTGCTCCACATCGTCTTCATTCTGGGTTGCAGGTCAATAGAGTAGCCTCTCTTGAGAACATCGTTGGTCTTCTGGCACAGGGAAAAGAGACATGGCAAAACACAGACTGCCTTATAAAACTTCTGCACAGAAATTTGAACACATCTACCCACATTTCATTGGCCAAAACCAATCGTGTGATCCCTAGGGTTCAACACAGTAGGGACAGAAAATCTTCCCACAAGGAGAGGCTTCACTGGGAATGAACCAGAAGATTTGGTTAGGAATCATGCCATGTGCCTTCCCCTAGTCCTAATGTGTCCAACTTCCAGGACTTTATTTGAAATAATGGTGACATGCAAAAAATTTATATACTAGCATATGTAATTTTGTTATGGCAAATTTTGAAAAAATGTAAGTCCCCAAAGGTAGGGGGTTAACTAAATAAATTATAGTACATTTATATAAGTGAAGAATTTAGCATTCTTCTGTAAGTAGAAGAAAATACACTAACATAATAAGATGGGAATATGTTTAAGATGTTCATGAACTGAAAAAACAATGTGGTCTCAATTAGATGAAAACTGAGAAATATATATGTATATGTCAAAGTACTCAGTAAATATGTGAATTAATGTTGAATTAATAAACAAAAAATACTGGAAGGATGTTTACCAAAATTTTATCATATCTCAAGATACTTGGATTATAGGAGAATTTTTTTTCTTTGTATTTCTCTGTATTTTTCCCTTTTTTCCCCATGCAGTCAGCATGTTTTATTTTCATTCTCAGAAAAAGATATTTTGTTTTCTAAAGTCATTGTAATATATTTAAACAAAAACAAAAGGAGAGTGGTGGGAAGCGGGTATCTTCTCTGCAAGAAACCACAAACATTATCAAGGCCTTCTATCTTTGAAGGTCAGGGGTGGTCAAGAATCATAAAATAAGTGCCCTTTCCTGGGGCAGTCCTGTTTGGTGCAGTCTATGAATTATTTAGCAGCATCTAACTGACCACCTTATTTCCATCTTACCCTTCCTCATCTCAGCCACAACTATGTTCGAGGGTCTATTACACTTTTTATCATCAACCTGCACCGATCAAGAAAGAAAATCAAACTGGCTGGGACTCTCAGGGACAAGCTCGTGCACCAGTATCTGCTGCAGCCCTATGGACAGGAGGGGCTCAAGTCCAAGTAAGTGCAGACCTAGAAATAGCTTAAGAGCAAGTGCAGCAGGAACTGGAAAGGGAAGGATCTAGCGCTGTCATTTTCCTGCTGCTATTTCACTGCGGGTCTCAGTGGGATGGAGTCAGGGGACTGCTGACTCCCTCTGGGACCCTTGTCAAGCCTGTCCCTGTCTCTAGGCTTAGATTCCTCAACTGTAAAATCAAATGGTAGACAAAATATTTCTCAACAAGGGCATTTTTTGTTATCTGGGCAAGACAATTTGTTATGAAGGATGATCTCATTTCACGCTACTTATTCACATCCTGGGTCCCTACCTACTAAATGCCAATAGCACCCCCTAGTCACGTGACCAGTGAAAACCCTGGGACTTGAGAGCCTTGCCCCTTTCAGCTGCAATGAATAGGTAATGCTAGAACTCCCTTGTTGTCGGCATCTATGAACCTCATGGGGGACAAAGGGTCAAAAGTTCAGAGATCAAGAGTTTGTTCTGCCCCTAAATTTATAACTTTGGACACATCACCTCTTGGATCTCAAGTTTCCTTATCAGAATGTTAGGAGACACATTATATTCTGGGGCTCTGTGATTCCCTCAAACTCTAAAAATATATGATTCAGTGATACTCCCTACCTCCCTTCGTCTCTGCCAGAGACTGTTGCCAACCCTGACCTCCACCAAAAGAAAGCAGCTCTAGGCCACAGGGAGAAGAGCCTGGTCAAAGACAAGGCCACCTCAGCTCCCCGGGTAAGGCCTCCCAGGAAGAGTATGGGATGCTGTACAGACTGGGAGCATTCCTATTACATTTTTAATGTTTACCAAGTTTAACAAAGCTGTAAACTTGGAGCAGGTGGCTTGCACTCCCACAGCTGCCCACAACTATTTGCGCTATAATTGTTCGCTGTTTCACTGCAACCTTGGTGGCTTGCATTTGGCTTCCAACTGTATGTGCAGTGGGAACAAAACACAATCTGGGAAGTCACTTACTGAGTCTCTTTAGCCCACCCTAGATCTGTATTTTCAATTTTGGTTCGTACACTGGCTCTTTTCTCCAGCTACATGTACATTGCCTCTACTTTTCTTTCCTCGCAATCCTACCTGTATTAGGAGTCACTCGAGTATTTTATCCCTTCCCTTTCTGTTTCCCAGTCTTTCATGACTAGTATGCTGAATTCCTGGACTTTATCCTAGGCAGGAAAATGAGTTTTTGTCCCAGAGTCACTAAATCGTTTGACCTTGGCCGATCAGTTAATCCTAATTCTTTGGCCTCAGTGTTCTCATCTGCAAAATTCAAGAGTTGCTGTATGTTTGGTAAGGTCCCTTCCAGCTATAAAGTTCTCATCCTGAGGCTGATTTTCTGAGGATCATGAGTGTGTTCAAGTTTCCACTGCCATTCACTAGTGACCTGCAAAGTCACTTCTTGCAGAAGGGCTGACACCTCAAGCAGTGATTGTGATCCTTCAGGGTCCTCTGGAGCTGGAGATTAGGAGCTGAGCCTGCCCAACACTGGGAAAACCATGTGTACTACACAGAAGGAACTAGCCAAATGCCTAAGTCTAACAGGCCATTTGCTGACTGTGTGTCCTTAAGCAAGTTACATAATTTCTATAATACGGTCTCATTTTCTTCATCTCATGGGGAGAGGAGTAAACACAGTAGTCTGTGTAAAGTTCCTGCCACATAGGAGGTGTGTGGTAAATACCCATTGCCTTCTTTTTCCTCAACTCGGGACTCTAGCTGGCTGGGACAAAGGAAACAATTGCTCTCTTTCTAACATCTCTAAAATGTTCTTCCAAAGCAGAGTCTTCTTGGATTTTTAAGATAATGTGTTGCTAAGATGCTTGTTAAGATTATAATAAAGATGGTATAAATGCAAAACCATGGAACAGGAGGAAATGTAGTCAGAGAGTAGCATCATTTTATGAGTTTGTTTCCCCCACCAACCAAGGACATGGGCCTCCAACCCTGTTTACTCCAGGATTATTCCCAATGCTTGAACCTGGGCACGCCTCGGACCCTCCTGCCTATACCTGTCCTGCAGAGTGACTGAGGTGACTGCCATTGGCTACTGATGTGCTCTGTGCTCCTGTTATGCTTTCTTGTACCTCACCTCGTCACCATCTCAGTGACAATTTGTGTTAGGGGGTTTGTTGAGAATGTCAGAGGGGGACAGGGTAAAAGAGAATTTCATTCCATGGGGGTCCTGAAGAGGGATTCTGTAATGGACACTGAGATCAAATAACAATGTTACACAGTCAGAAGAGGAGGCAGCTAGAATCAGAAGGCCTGGCTATGAATCCAGTTGCTGCCATTTACTCGTGTGGGCAAACCTCAGCTCCCTTACCTGTCAGATGGGGTGATTGTGAGAATCAGGTTAGAGCATGTGGGGGAGCTAGAGCATGTGAGCTTTCTACAAATGAAAATTTCGCACACCCATGCATACACATATGTATAAAAGTAGAAATACAGTCAAGGCACATATGATTTTACATATATCATTTTAAAGAGAGTTTTGGATTGGAAGTCAGGAGAACTGGATTCCAGCCCTAATCCTGCCGTTACTTCACTGTGGAGCTTTGAGCCTTTCACTTAATTCTCTAAGCCTATTTCTCTCCTGTAAACTACTGCTAATTTGACACCTCTCCCGTTCTTGACCTCAGTGACTCTGACCCTGTGCCATGCCATCTTGGACCATAAGCTGCCGGCAGAGGCTGTCGTGTATATGTTCAGTGCCCCCAGGGCTCTGCTCAGTAACTACTAATGCATGCAGGAGCCCTCGGTGGTTCTGAGATGGGGGTCTCACAGGAAGGGTGTGGTTTTGGTGAAGCAGACTCTGCAGGAAAGGATGAAAGGAAATGCAAGGAAGTGATTTCAGCGTTTGGTGTCTCCTTGTCTGTTTTATAAGCCTCTGGGGCCAGATTCTGTATTCTGTGTCTGCTAATTCCTTGCTGCAGCCTGGAGCCATATTAACTCAGAAGAAAATGGAAAGCTCTGGGAGCTGAGGAACCTGTAATTGCTCTTGTCTGGAGGAACCAGAAAGAGGATACAGAGCAAGTCAGTGTGCCATTCAAGCCACCAGTTAGACACCGTGGCCTGGCATTTCAGGAGTAGAGAGATGCCAGCAAACATTTATGACTGGTTGAGAACAAGGGGTAATTCTCATTCTCTTGGAGTGGTCAGCAGGGCTGGGTATATTTGAAATCTTTGGAAAGGGATCTCCATGAGATCTTGGGGCTCAAGAATGTCAGGCATTGCACATGAAGCCCCCCTAAGGGGCTAATCAGGCACAGTCTGGGCATCCGAGTCCACAAATGAAGGTTCCTGTTCGTCATTTCAGTGAGTGAGCCCATCATAAGACCCACCAGTCAAGTCTCAACTCTCTATGTGAGAAATAGTTCTCATTCCTGGAATCAGACAAAAGGTGGGTGCCCTATACCCTATAGGATAGGAGAATGGAAGCTTCAAAAACTATAGTGTGTACAAAGGAGGGGGTTCTGTGTCTAGAATACATATTCTGTAAGGATGGCTGAAAGAAATAGGGAGATTTCATTCAGAGAGGAAAAATAACGCAAATCATAAGGACTTTCTTTAGATACTCAGGGACTGTGAAGTGAAAGAAAACAGATTTAGCCTAGAATCCTCTAAAGTGACAGCAAATCAGGGAGTATAATTTAAAAGAGAAAGATTTCACCACAAAAAGAGCTCATTTTCCAGACTCATCTGGCGTGACCGAGGACAGGGTTGTTAGGAGGTAGCCTATTATTCAGAGAGTGAGCGGCCATGGCCAACCCAGAGGAGCTCCAAGATTCTCACTCAGTGGGAGGGTGAGCTAAAAGAGTTCTGCTTCCCATTGAACTGTAAAATTTGATTTTTCTCTTCTATTCTCCTTCCCCTAATCCCACTTCACTTTTGGAGCTGATGGTCACCAGCCAAGTAGCTTCTTCAGGCCACTAAAAGGCCACACAAAGAGGCTGTGCTGTAAGAGGACGTGGCGGTAATATTGGGCTAGTTTTTCTCCAGAAAATCTCCAAGGTGCAGGTCCATCCTCTGTACTGTTCCCTGGTTTCTCACCTGTCTGGGAGGAAGACTGACCATTTATATCCAAGACAATAATAGTTCCCATTCTGGAGAAGTCAAAGAGAACATTTGGGGCATCTCTGTATCCACAAAGGAAAGAATCTGCCCAATGCCTGATGCGATCACAAATCAGTGAGCATTGTCCTCTAGGGAGTCGATTCCATCCAAGACATAAATATCTCCAGTGTCTTTCAACAAACAGGGAAACAACATGAAGCTGGGCCAAAGAAGTCAACTTACTTAAAAAAACAGGACTCACATTTTTAGGGAAAAGTCAAACCAAGAGTGGGTGTTTGCTCACATCCCAATGTCCTACCCTATATGTCTAATTCAATTCCATTTTAAGGGAAAACTATCCAAAAATTAGAAAAGAAGGAAACAACCTTCATCACACTGACCATTCTGTTCTGACATAGTAACCTGAGGGAATGAGCAGCTACTAAGAATCCTGGGGCAGAATGACATTTTGAAGTGATCTGCTTCATTCTCCCTACCCTTAGTCTACGGCAAAGCCATCTGGACTAGACGATGCTCTAGGTTTAAAGACCTCTGGGTAATGAGTGCCCACAATTTCAATCTTGTCCAAACACTTAATTTTATAAGATCACTGTGACCCACTGTGGCTGGGACTTTATAGATAATAAAGGACTTTAAGATCCATTAAATGACATTAAGAGTCATTTGACCCTCTGAATAGCACCAAGAAGAAAGTAGAATAATCCCTGCCTCCCTCACACTTTAGAGTTGGAGAAACCAAATCTTGGAGCATTAAGTGACTTCCTCAAGAGTCACACAACTATTAAGTGATAGAGTTAGAAAGTATCTAGCACGCAATTTTCCTGGCCCCAAATCCAGTACACTCTCCTCAACACTGTGCTACCCCAGTAGTCCAGCAATATAAAATTATAGTGACATACTGACAAACATACAGTAC